GTCTATTTACAATGTTAACCATTTAGTTTTAAACCAACATCGGGCTCTTCCCTTAAAAAGGACACTACATTCTTTTATTTTGAGCAGAACAGACTAAGAGAAGTCATTGGTGAGAGAGTAAATGAGCTTGCTATCAATAACATGCTTGAGAAGAATCAATTTGTCTCTTGAACATAGGAGTTTAGAGTTCCTAGCCAAAAGTTTGTTATTAATTATTTCAGTAACAGGGTTAAAGAAACATCATTTCGTTTCTGCCATGACCTAAGTAGGACTACCAGACACGTAATAGTTTGTCAACCAGATGCTCTCACATTCTTTGAAACAGCCTCTCTGTATGTTCAGGGGTTAGGGTGCGTATATCTGCCCCTTCCCAGACCCCACATTGGTGGAAGCGTCATGCACTGGGCTGCCCATTCTCTCTCACATTCTGTTTTAAGGATATTCATTCCTCAAATGGAAATTTTAGATCCTTTGCAGACAATAAAAGTGTTATTCACACGAGACAAACTCAATGTGACAATGGGTACCGACATGGACAGCTAATGTACACAAGACAAACTCAATCTGTAGCATTTCCTTTGTATCTCCTTTCTAATTTGACATAAATGGATGGCTAATGTACAAGATGAAACCCATTTCATAAAATTTTACTTAGCAACAAAAGCAATATCTTGTGAGTCAACATTTTCTCATCTTGCTGAGTCAGACACTTGGGCACATGACATATTCCAACCCCCTTCAGAATTATAGATTATAGCATAACRTTTTTATACGTAGTATGTTAAAAACATTATACTTGGCCCAGGCACAACCCCTTTGAAAAGGCCTGCACCTAAATGTGCCTAGGCGTGAACCTGGTACGCCTTATGTCTCGATTCAGGCGTGTGCCTTTTCAAAATTTTGCACTTTTTTGTTCTTTTTTAAGTACAGTGGCTAGGCTGGGGCTCCACCCCTGGACCCCGGACCAAGCCCCTTCARGCAAGTGCGAAGAAGTCCATGTTAGGGTCATAAATTCTTAATCCCCACAAAAAATGATTTTATAATTTCAATTATCACTTTTATAAAAGTTATGCATTTTTCTCATTTTCTGCAATTTTTCTATTATTTTCTGCATTTTCTGTAATTTTTTTTTGTGCTTTTCTGCATAGTTTTTGCATTTTTTTTTGTGTTTTTCATGCATTTCCTACAATTTTCTGGTATTTTTTGCATATTTTTTATAACTTTTTAAATATTTTTTGTATTTTTCATAATATTTTGGTTTATTTTGTATTTTTCTATAATTTTTCGTTTTTTTTTTTGCATTCTCTATAATTTTTCTATTATTTTTTTCATTTATCTACAAGTTTTGCATTTTTAGGTATATGGGTTAACCTGACTCATTATTTTGGGTATATGGGTTGTCCCGACCCATTTTTGTATTTATAAGTGAGGGTAGGTCAAAGGTCAATATGGATAGATCAAGTGGGTCAATATGGATGGGTGAGGGTTGGTTAGGATTAGAGTGGGTTATGAACCATTAACAAGGACTGATGATGGGTCATGGTGGGTTGGTGGGTCAATATGGGTGGATTGATATTCAACCCTTACCCAACCCAACCCAACCCGCCCATTGCCACCCCTGAACAGATTCAAATGATGCCCTAAGATCCCTATTTTGCAATTTACAAATGATTGCATGATCTTTGGAAGGGCGTCTATTGATGGGTGCCTAGAAATCAAAAAGAAGTCTCAGTTTTGTAATTTAAAATCTAAAAGAAAAACTAAGTGGTTAGAAGGCCAATACTCTCTCCAAGGTGGGCAAAGTAGTTTAAGTATGTAACAAGTGTCATCCCATTCTATCAAATGGTTTGCTTTCCCCTTTCTGAGTCAACTCTTAGGCTATGTTTGGTTGCAATGCAAATAAATTTGCACTGATATAAAACCATGACAGTGCAAATGTTTTGAGTGTAAAGTCTGACCTATTTTTGTTTCAAAGTTTATCTCATTTTGTTTAATTGCAGTACAAATTAAGAAAATTAAGACATGAAGCAGAATAAAGTAAAATCAAAATTAAATTAAATAAGAATTTGTATTTTTTACATTTGCACTCCCATGCATTTGTATTAGGGCAAATAATTTTGCACTGCAACCAAATACAACCTTAAGAAAACTGATAATACCCAAAGAAACATATTTTGGAGAGAAAGTTTGAATAGGAAAAAATTAGCATAGATGAAATGGAAGAACTTATGCAAACTAGTAAACCTTGGAGGGGTTGGTTTTCATGAAGCTAAAAGTATCAGTATGACTTGAATGGCTAAGTTAGGATTGAGGGTGTTGGTTGATCATGATAGTTTATGGGTAAAAGTAATATGATACGAATATTTAAAAAATCAAAGTTTCTTTTGAAGCTACCCCCATAGCAGATATGTCTCTTAATTGGAAAGGGATTCTATGTAGCTGGAGTCTTATTCTCAAGAGTATAAGATGGATAATGGGAAATGGAGAGAGCATCTTGTTTTGGAAGGATAATTGGACGGGCAAAGGTCCTTTATTTGCACTAGTACAAATGCACAGGAATGTAAATTTAAAAAAAAAATACAAATTCTTGTTTAATTTTATTTTGTTTTTTTTTTCTTTATTATAATTAATGTCTTAATTTACTTTAATTGTACTGCAATCAAAGAAAAGAAGCTAAAATTTGAAACAAAAAAGGTAAGAATTTACACTCAAATAATTTGTACTGCAATGCTTTTGTATCAATGCAAAATTGTTTTCATTGCAACCAAACACAGCCTAAGTGAACTAAACACCATTAATACGAACGACAAGATTACTGAAAATTTTTTGATCCATCTATCATATGAGGTGGGATGTTTCTAATTAATATGAATGATGAATTGAAATGGATAGTAGTGGGGAATTTACTATGAAATCGAACTTGACTTGGATAGAATGATTAAGTTTTAGCAATGAAGCCTTTTGTTAGGAAATTTATAGATCTATTTTTTTGTTAATAGAAAACATTGGGGGTTCGATTGAGGAAATTGGATTTAATCGTTATAAGACCTTGTTCACACTGTCCCTTGGAAATATCTTTCCATAAAAAAAGTACATAAACATGAAAATATTCTCGATGCAAAACTGTAAAGCGCTGTTCCGAACCTTGTTCGCATGAAATTGTGAGCATTGAAGCCGATCTCACTGTCGAATGAATATTTATTTATTTCAAGGATAAGAATGAAGATGATTGAAAACATGTGAGGATGATTGGAACATGAAAGCTGTAATCAATTCCGTTGCATGTCTCTACGTACTGCACCACCTGCAAAGAAAAAATTCCCATTCCCTCGTCTACATCAAACGAATGAAACTTCCTTGCAGTTGCAGTGATCACGGCAGGGCAGGAAGGACATTTCCGGGATTTTGCAGAGCTTCGTTAAAAGACAAAACGAAATCGGGAAATTCGGGATTTTGTTTATGTTGTAAAGTGGAGAATGACGGGGCCATGCACACCTGTCCGTGTGTACGAATAACCAGCAGACCAATTCTCATTCTCTTCTTTGCTACCCTAAACCTAAATTAATAATCCATGGAGATGGGCGGTTCTCTTCGTGTGCGCCGCGCTTCCGTGGATCTATTATATTTCTATCCTTCTTCTAAGGGGTAAAAAGACCAAAGAAGGGTGGTGTCATAGGTCTTCCCAATGGTTTTAAATCAAGCAAGAGGAAATAAAGAAAAAATTAAGAACGATACCTTGATAATTGAATGAAATAAATGATTCTTACTGGCGAATTGGAATTTTCTTTTTTGCACTTTTTCTTGGAATGGCAATTAAGGGAAAAAAAAGATAGATCGTGAGAGAGAATTTGGATTAATGGAAGAGAATCAAGGAAATATTTATTTTACTACAAAAATACTAACAGGAGTGAAAATGAAAATAAAATAGAGATCCAACGGTAAAATCAATCAATGAGAGCAGAAGTTATTTGACAGAACACGTTTTCTGTCTAGGTCTATAATGGAGAAGGTTTTTGTCAAATTTTTAAAAAATTCAAGAGAGATTTTTATTAAAATGAAACTATAAGGAAAATTTTTATAATTGCCAGAAACTTCAGGGGAGGTTATTGTATTTTACCCATTAAAAATAAGTGCACGTTGATTCGTTTTGTTCCCGTTTCCCGTCTTCTGAAAACAGTATCTGTTACTTCTTTCTAATTTTCTATCCCAATTGACAATATATCCTTCTGTTTCACTGCAAACAAGGGAGTCAATGCCCCTAAATTTTATAAAAATTGTTGAACCCCCACATTTTATGATCAACAAGCTAGACTGACTCTCTCAAGTATATGAACCAACCCTCTTCACGGTTAGCCGTGCATCTAAAAATGTTTATTCATGGTAAGATATTTTCAATACACGGCTGAAACGTGCTCTGAGGTCAGTGTGAGGCGCGTATTGTGAGGAGCAGATTCGAACTCACCACTAAACACTTTATCACGTGACCATTTAAGTGTTCGTCAAGCCAACCATCCCTCCACTCACATGACTCAGAACAAAAAGTTTACGTTGAAAAAAAGGATAGAAGAGAGAAGAAATGGACAATAAAATCTCTCTCCACCGACACTCGCTTCCGGCCGGCTCTTCAGTAGCCAATATTAAAAGTTAAAACTTAAAACCTCTCACATATTTCATCTTCTTTCTCTTTTTTCAACCTTAATTCTACCATGATTCATGAAATACACGGTATTAATTAGGCAAAAAAAAAAAAACACAAAGAATACATGTAAAAGTATTACAAACATGAAAACAGAGACCATTAGGTCCATAATCATCGATTCATGATACTCTTATATGACGACGACGACGATGATGATACAGACGGTAACGATGTTGTAGTGTTGCCACAGAACCGGAAAGTCTTCGGGTCCATTCTTTCCAGTACGAAATGCCCCAACAGGTCCTTGGACTCAACCAGGTTCTCTTTGCACAGGAATTCATTGCTGCAAACTCTTTCTACTTCCCTATTGAAGTCGTGGACGTACACGTGCGTCTTTGGATCCCCGCTCCTCTTGCTCCTTGCCAGAACCCCTGCCGTGAAGATCGCCGACATACGTCCCGGCGCCGATGGATGATAACCCCGCGGTCCATCCACCAGTATCACGTCCCAATTCACCTCGTACAAGTGATTTGGGAGGTCATTGATCCCAAGCTTGCAGTCGGAGAACAACAGGTTCTGTACGGGTCGGCATTCGTTGTGGAGTTGCTCCCTGGCCGACGCGATGAGCTCCTTCATTTGGCTCACCTTGGTCGTGTACTGGATGTCGTATGCTTCCATGTCAGGGTGTTTTTCTTCGAATTTCACGATGTAGTACTCGCTTTCGTCGAGGAAGACCGTTCGTCCGTTGTGATTCAGGGCTTTCCATAGGAGGGTCTCGTGGGTCAGACCGAATACGAGGAAATTGCAGGGGGTGGGGCAGCGTTGGAGTACGTCCGCAATTGACTTGAGCTCCGCGTCCGACATACGGCCGGTGGCGTTGGAGTTGGAGGTGTAGTGGAGGAGGGCATCGGCAACGCTCTTTGGCAGCTGTGGTTGACCCGAGAAGGAAGAAGAGGTGGTTATGGCGGCGGCGGCGGTTGCTCTCGCTGAATCTCTAATATTGAATAGAGTGAAAAGGAAGGCAAACGTGAAGAAGGAGACGAAAGCTAGAAGCCAAAGACGGTGAGATCCTCCTTGCTTGTGAATGGAGGAGGGATGGATGAGGATGACCTTGGTATTGTTGTTGATGCCAGTCTTCATGACTATTCAGGTTATAACTAATTAAAATGAGCAGAGAGAGAGAGAGAGAGGGCAAAACAGAGAGAGATCTGGGTTATGAAACTAGCACTGAAGTCTGAAAGAGTGTAGAAATGTTAATGGTTAGAATAAGACAAAAACAGCGAAGGGGTGGTAATCAGTAATCACTAAACAGATACCTCTACAATAACAATGATATGATAGTAAGTTAAATTTTAATAATATAAGTAGAGAGACAGTGGGACCTGGCTTGCCTCGATAGATAGATGATAGATGATCATAAATGGTGCAAATGGAAGCGACCTACCAACTAGAGAACCGCGAGATGTCATTGTTCCTTACACGTGTTAATTTTTTCTTGCTGAACACACAAGTGTTTCCTTCTTAATCCTTCTCCATTCTAATTTCTTCTAACATAATTAATCACTTGTTTAAAAAATAAATAAGGAGGGTGAAAGCAGTTACCTAGTAAATAAATGAGTTATTAATAAAAGGGGGTAATTGGAGATATTCCACAGAGGGAGGGATTGGGACTCTGGGTCTGGGACTGGGAAGCAACAATTGAAAGTAATTCAGGAGAATGTTTTGAATTTGATTGCCCCCTTAATTTGACCTCTCCATATATAATCATCCTCAAATCAAATGTATCGTCCCACCCTACCACCAAATTGAGAACCGTCTCAAGTCTCAACTCTGATCTGAAGAGGGAAAGGCATTTCCATCGGTTTGAATTTTGAAGCATATAATAAAACAGATGGTGTGGTCCCAACTCCCAATTAGATGTTTCTGAATTCTGATACAGAGAAAAATAATGAAAGGTAAGAACCCACACTCCCCAGCATTACCGTACTAGTCTATACATGACCCTGACTCATCCCTCGTGAAGTGAACAGTGTGATTTTCTTCCTTCTTTTATGGAATGACGATAATATTGATACGCTTCTATTATGCTGTTCAATTAATCAATAAGATTTTGTTTTTGTTTTTTTTTTTCAGAGGGTGAATAGCGTTGCAAATTGCAATTCATGGTGATGACTGATGGGATGTTATGGGTCTCACTCCCATCCCTGGCATCTCAACTGTTCAAAATGGTGGGTCTTAGTAGCTTGCCTAGTGCCACATAAGCATGCATCACATGGTGCATCAGATACCAGCATCCATGTTTAAGACAAACCAGTACTCAAATGGAGAAGCAATCCAAAATTCCATACAATAGAAGACAAACCAACCCACTTATTCCCCCCATCTCTCCGTGTGCACCTTTTTATCTCCCAATTCTTTCCTGAATAAATAAATAAATATATATATATATATATATATAGGTAAATAAATATCAAATATTATTGAAACCATTTTAAAGTTTGAACCCTTTAGGTTGCGTTTGTTTGGGGTGGAAAATCGAATCAGGGTAAATTTTATACCCCGGTTTGATTTTATACATGTTTGGTAAGCATATAATTTTACATGGAAAAAAGGTGTAAAACTCCACTTTCATTTTTCTTTACACTGATAATCTCATGCTATGTACACGTACAAACATATTAATTCCAAATAAGCAGGTTAAGCAGGTTGACATTGGCATCTTTCAATTCTGGGTGTAGTTTTACAGCCACCTTAATTCCAAACAAGCATGGAATATACACTTAAAATTTACACTTTTGGCTCAGTTTGGAAAGAATACAAATACAAATTTGTAGAGTTTAAAACCTTGTATTTTATATACATTTACACTGTACGTATTTGTATTTATACTCTTTTCAAACTGAGCCTTTATTTCAAACGTATTATAATGTAAAGCTAATATTGACCGGTTTAATTTTTGCATTTACACATCTAACTGGTTTTCATTTATGTCGATGTATTTTTGGATTTACACCTCAAACAAACGAAGCCATACAGTAAATTCAGTGGCTAAATTACAAGAACCAAAGCTTCTGACTTCCGAGAACCGAGTGGACAAACAAAGTGCCTGTTAATGAGACAACTTGAAAATATACCGTGCAAATGCATGGTTTATGTGCAACTGAAACTCAGCTCTTTTCATTCAACATGCTAACCCCCTCCATCTCCAGTTGGTACAAAACAATTAAAGAGAGAGGAGCATATATATATATATATATAAGCCCTGCTGTAATGATTTGAACCCACTATTCTGTAAGATGAATCCGTGTCCATAGCTTCTCCATTATGATCATTGACTTGACTCAGCAAATGTGGGGAGTTGAGTGATGCAACTTGGAACAGACCCAGCCTGAAATTTTTTATGGGTTGGACTTGGATTTTTTGATCCTCGAGTTAAGTTAGGGCCTAAGAATTCGAGCCTTGTTTTATTTTTTAGGCTGGACTTAGGCCTAACCTTTAAGGTATGTTTGATTGCTGAGAAAATTGGATTGAGAAAGGATGGGATGAGAAGAGGAAAATTTATTTTCTCAATTAGTTATAATGTATTTGTTTGTTGAAAAATTTTTTGTTAGAAAATCCACTTTCTAGTGTTTGTTTTATAAGAAAATTTATAGGAGAAAATGGCTGAGCTTTCAGCCATTGAGAGAAAAACATGGAGTTGGGGAAAAAGAATATAATAATAAGAATCTTCCATCAAACTAAAAGAGTAGGATGATCTTATTTTCCATATATTGTTAAAGATTTGTTCAATCCTTTCGGTTGCAGGACTTAACAACATTTTTAACGTCTAGATCTAATTTAAGGTGAACTTGCGGAATATCCTTCACCAACGACGCCTTTTTCCAGATAAGAGTCCGTCGATGCCTTTTTCTCTGATCGTTGTGAAGACACTCTTCACCAACGACGCCATCGCATGGCAGGCTGTGGTAGAGGCGCCGTCATAGACAAACGCAGCGACGTGGGACGCGGGGCGACCGACCTTACACCATCGCATGGCGGGCTGTGTCGAGACCCTCTTCTCTTTGCTTTTGATTTTGGGAAGGTCGGTCGCCCGCGTCCGCGTCCGACGGCGATTGGGAGGAGTAAGGTCGATCTCCCTCTTCTGTTATGCTCTGCAATGGTGATTTAGGGTCGGGACGCGGGCGGTGGTGCGTTAGGGTCTTGGCGGAGGGCGTGGAGTGGGGGTTCAATACAAAGGCGGCGCTTCCGATGGCGACGCTCATCAGTAGCCTCCTCCGTTGAGGAGTAGGCGAATGAGCGAACAAAGAGGAGGTTATGGTTGGGATGCTGGAGGAGGATGTAGTGATGATCAGCGGCAGTGGTGGAGGTGCTGATAACAGGAAGAAGATGGTTAGTGGTGGAGAGAGAGAGAGAGGAGATGATCGACTTCTTGCTCTGACAAAGCCCGAGCAATTTTCTTAGCGTTTTCTTTTCTCATCGGGGTTGCACTGTTTTGGTGCGACCCCGCTCACTTAATTTTGGGATCCCGCGTCCCTCTTGTTTCTCATCCCAAAACACTGTTTACCAACAAACAAACACAAGAAAGGGAGAATCATTCGGGAATATTCCCTTTTCTCATCCATTTCTCAGTAAACAAACAAAGTCTTAGGTATCCAGCCCAAGTCCAATCCAACTATACATATTTATACATGTATATATGTAAATTTTTACGTATATATTTAAATATATACGATTATATATATATTTGCATAAATGTATATATGTATAATTTTAGAGTGAATTCATTAACGAGCCTGAACTCAACCCAAATGCATCAAATCACAATATGAATAGGGATCGGGTTGAGAAGATCAATCTTGACCTTGGACTTGGGCCTTGAAGCCAAATTCTAGGATTGGGCCTGAATTGACCATATACCCAGCCCAATCCACCCGACTTACACATCTATCAGGATTCCGGGCCTTCAGGCGTCACGTTACAATTTAGAAAGGAAGTTGCTTCATAAAAAAGGATTGGTTTGGTATTTACAATGGGATGATCTGGTTGCAATGGATTTTACATTATGTTTGGAATTAGAATTTGTCATATAAAGTTATAAAGCAGGGAAAGACAAACAAGTTGGTGGGTTGATGCGAATTATTTAGAAATTGATAGAGATGCTTTCTGAATTCTGAGTTTCGACCACGAAACCAATAACGTTTATTTTTTCGTGTTCGTTTTAAAGTTTCATGTCCAGAGCAAGCATCCGTCTGGTTTTTAATATTGTAGAAGCGGGTTATTACTTAATTAAAAAACATCGGTGATAGAACACGTTAAAATTTCAACATCCGGTGTGGTGATGACTGATGAGTGGATCACAATTCACAAATCATTTTCGAGGTTTAAAACTTAGAAGTGAGGGTGGGCGATTCCTGGAATTTTCATTTTATTGGTGGTATTTCTTTATTTCATCACCTAATACACATTTTACAAAAAAATTTATTTCTGCTAAAAAGTCATTTCAGTCCCTTTCTCCATCTAATGTGGCCTACTAAATGACGCTCAATCTATCAACTAAACATTACTCATAAAAAAAATAAATAAATAAATAAATACCACGAAGTAGATTCAATAAAGACCAAGTATGATTCTTGTTTTACAAAAATTAGTACTGCCACGTCAATAAAATTATATCGTTTTTTACTTGATTGATATGTCATATTATTTTCTTTAGAGAAGCCACAATTTTATCAAAAATGTTTGGTTGAGCAGTGAATGCAAGACAGAAGTGAATTTTTGGGCCCACAAGAAAAAGAGAAACGAAACAAAACTAACAACAGACACCAAACAAACTGCAGAGTGCAGAGACCTACCCAGGTAGTGTTGTTCTTAAATCTTAATTCAGGTTGGACAATCCCCTATGTAGAGACCAGACTCTGCTAGTGCTAGACCACCCCGTTTACAGTTCTTTTTCCAAATTTGAAATTATCAGTAATTGCTTTACTTTGGTCCAAAATATCCTGACATATATTAGAACGCGGGCATCCATTGCCAAATCTGGATCTGCCTTTGAAAGTGCCTTTATCAAGTTTGCACAGTCAGATTCTAAAGAAGCTTCTCTGAATCCGAGGTGTTTCAACAGATCCAGTCCTCTCAGAATGAATTGCCTGAGCTTCCGCCTGGACTGGTGAAGTGGCCACCACAGGTCCAGAATTGCCTGAGCTTCCACCTGCAGCATCTACATTTGCTTTCACGCAATCTGGGGCTGGACTTTCGCAAAAAACTTGGAGACTCTCGCTCCTCCTAAGAAAATGGGTACAAGG